AGAATCATAGGATCATTTAGGTTGGAAAGGACCTTCAAGAACATCGAGTCCAACCGTTCCCCTACCCCTGCCATCCCACCACTGAACCCTGGCCCTCAGCACCTCGTCCGCCCAGCTTTTAAATCCCCCCAGGGATGGGGACTTGACCCCTTCCCTGGGCAGCCCCTTCCAGTGCCTGACAGCCCTTTTGGGGAGGAAATTTTTCCTAATGTCCCACCTAAACCTGCCCTGGTGCAACTTGAGGCCATGAGGAGGGATTCAGTAATTTCATAATTTCACAGCTGGAGATGAGCGTTGTGCCCACCCTGACTCACTTCCAGAGCACCAGAGCAGCCCCCACACACCCAGGCCCCTAATGAAGCCACCAGCAGCTGCAGAATTGGGAGATGATTCTTCTGCTGATGTGATTGCTTCAGGAAACCAGCTGCCACGCGCTGTTCTGGCTGTAGTCACTAGGGGAAGATATTACAACAGTAGGTTTCCTCTGGGGAAAAAAAAAAAAAAAAAAAGGCTTAGGACTTGTCCACACAGGGGATGATTCAGGATGGTTTATTTGAACTAGCTGGAGATTTGCTGTGGATTAGTTAGAATCATGTAAAACCTCTGGGTGTACACTTTTATTCAGAATTAAATTGTCCTAATCCAGTTAGATTAACTGACTTCCAAATGTGTTACACAGCTAGTGATAACAGACCAAGAGCAGACAACACGTAAAGGTATCTAACATGGTCTGCCGAGGAACACAGCCACTCTCCCCTTACGCCTCACGAATATGACATCCCACTGCAGAATGTAGCTATCAAGAGCTGACAACTGGAACGGAGGAAATTGAGTTCAAGGACACGACAAGCAGAGAACTGGATGTCATCATCATCTTCTAAAAAAAAGCAGCTGGAGCCGGTTATATTGCTTCCAGCTAGGGTGACCATCAAACATGCCCGGATCACGGTATCCTTGTAGGCAAGTGGGAGCTCAGCATCTTTGAAGCCAGCCTTAATGACCGTTATCTTACCACCAACTTCTCTGGGACAGCATTCATCAGACACCGGGGACAGCTTCCGTACAAGATGTGCTGCACTTCCTAGGGTTCTCTACAGAGAGGGAATAAGCTCCAATATCGAGCTGGGAATCAAGTACCTAATCCTCCATGTTGGAAGCAGACTGGAGCTTCACAATGAAGCAAATACAGGCAGTTTAGTATCAAAAGCAAACCTGTTAAGAGTCGTACCTTGGCATGGCAACTTGGCGAGTGCTAGGGAGCCACCAGGCTTGCCACAGAGTCACGCCAGGACTTCCAAGTCCCACCCCAACAGGGGCACTTCTGGGGCTGTCACAGTGTCCTCTTCCCAGAACATCTGGACCTGCCTGGAAACCCTAAGGAGCTTTTTCAGCCATCCCTACATAGGAGAGGATGACAAAAAAGCAACGCGGTGTTTTAGTGGAAAGTCCCTGGTGGCCAACAGCAAGAGTAAAGCTTGCACAGCCCTAGGCACGTGGCAGAGGTTGAGGGGGAAGAGAGAAGCGGTGAAGCTTTCCTTTCCTTTCCTTTTTCATTTCCTTTTCGGAAGTTCCTGAAAACCAAAAGGCCTAGGAAGTGGAGGAGAAGGCCAAAAGCTGAAGCCATGATAGGTCCCCGTTCATTTGGCCTTCTCCTTGTCCAAGCAGGAAGCAGGCAGCCGCTGGCTCCAACTGCAGTCGTGTTTGCGGTATACTTCACCGGGGGAGGGCATGGGATCTTACCCGACCTGTCCCAGTTTTGCAAAGGTGCTTGAGGGGAGATGAAAAGTGCTGGTGTACAGCAGGCAAGTCTGGCGTGTTGGGGTCGAGTCAGCTGTTGGAGGCAGAGCCTGGTGAAACGCTCTTGATGTCCCTGGAGGGAGGTGCCGCAGGGCCGAGAAGTCTGGAGGTCTGCTCGCCCTTCCGCCTGCAAATGCCCCCACGTGTCCCCAAAGCCAAGGCTGTGCAGATGGCCGGGGATGTGCTTCATCAAAACGGACTCAGGTTATTTGTTCCTAAAACGCGGTGCACTCTGCTTGCTGCGCGGCAAGCTTCAGAAATACCAAAATTAGACTTCAGAAGAGTATAAAAAGCTCCCTGCTAACATAACGTGCAAATGGACTGTTGCACTCACTGCCATCTCGGGCAGCATCAAAAATAGAAGGCAACAGCAAACAGCAAAGAAAATTGCAGCTGAAAAATACTGACATTATCCGCTTTTCATACGTATTGTTAAAAAGGACATTTTTAAAAGCTGAAGAGATGCGAGCCCAGATGCTATCACTGCATGTCTCATGCAGTTCACGATTACGAACAAACAGCAGATTACATAGAAGGGAATCTGAAACGGTATGGATACGCGCCCAGCTGGTGTCCCCATATGCCTTATGAATTCCATTTTTAGGAACAGCATATAGCATCGGAGATGCTTCTTAAACATCTCATTTATAAATAGAGTGGAGCTGTTTCTAACCGAAGAACCCACAGAAACCCACAGGGATCATAAACCCTGTTGCACTCAAAACCTCTGAAAGGGTTCGACCGCCGTGTTTTTATTAGGAACCAGCCTGCACCAGAATATTCCCCAAATGAGGGATGATGCTTGTTTGTCATAGGCTCCTCACTGGGATTTCTTTAAAAACAACCACCAAAAAGCCATTTTAGTCAGAAAATGCCAACTTACTTTGCTTTTGGCAAACCGTTCCTACTGGCAGCTTTTTCAGATCCAGAATGGAAGAGCTCCGGAGCAGTGCAGACGTACAGGCATGGGAGAGGTAAATTCTTGCCACTTCTGAAAATCAATCACAGCAGGGTCTGGAGCTTGGCCGGTCCATCTCCTGGGGAGAGGCCTTCACCAACAGGCTGTGGCCTCTTCTGCAACACGGCTCTTCCTCTCCTGCCTTGCGGTTTCACCAGAACCACCTCTAAGGGAAGGTAGTTAACTGCGGGGATTCCTGGTTAATTGTGAAAACACATCACCAAATGCAGTTGACTTTAAATCATCGTTTAATTATATGCCACTATCGACCAAAACATACCTAGAGCAGATACCTTAAAAAAAAATAAATACACTATATACGAATGAAAAATTATTTTATTTAAAAATACATTATACAGCAGAGTGTCTCTCTTTTTGTTTTCTCACTGCTGGTTCACAGAGATAATATGATAAATTTAACCCAAATATTTGACTGGGAAAGATCCTGAGAGAGAAAGAGACCAGTTATACAAGCTGATGATATACAGTACACTGAAAAAAGAGTAATCTCTTTTAACATAAAAGAATCTCTTGGTAATCTTATAAATCAGATATAAAAAAATGCAGGTTTGCTACCATGCAAAAATGAGTGAAGATTTCATTTAAATCTGCACACAGAGAAATCATTAGTACCTTGGACCCTAAAGAGCTAGACTAAGAGAAGGGTAAGTGGGCCTAACATGGTGTTACAAACCTCGGACCTACTACGATTTTGTAAACACAGTTGGTAGTCTAATAAAGGTGGATTTTCGATCGCCTAAGTAACGTTGTTGTAGCTAAGGGCTCTATTCTAGGACTTCCCTCCCCCCCAGATGCATTTCTTCAGTCTCTAAATCTCAGCTTAGCACAATGACTTCATGGGACGTGCTCCATCGCACTCAGCGGTGCCTTGGCCTTGCCCTGTTCACCAAGCACTATTTGGGTAGCTGCATTTTAGTGAAAGCAGAGGTTAAAATAAAAAGCAAAAAGCAGGTGTTACCTGGACGACTACATGGGAACGCATTAAAATTCATCATAGAAAATATATTCTTGATTCTACAGCCTTACGCTTCGAACATCTTCTGACAATGATTACTGCACAGGAAATACACCGGATTATGAAAAATTTAAGGCCTAGAATGTTCAACAGCCTGCACGGACCGTTACTGTTCTCAGTGTGCCTACAGGGCTAGCGTTCTATCAGCTGTTGCCAGAGGAAAACTTCCTGGCAGATGCTAAGAGCATCTTCAGCATCCACAATATTTGGGTCCCTTTGGTGCTCAATTTTTGTAGGAAAACTTCACTGTGAATAGGCAGCGAGGCCGCCTCCTGAAGAGGAGGCTCAGGCCGATTATCCACAGTGGTAACAGAGATATGGTAACATTGCCTGATGTTAAAGAAAAAAAATCAATTCGTCAACACCGCACGGACTGACAGAGGATTTTTTTTTTGCAAGAATATGGCCCTGAAACAGAGAGAGAGAAAGATTTATAGAGAGAAAGTTTGCCTGTCCTGGTCATTTAGGCTGAAGAAAATTATGGAAAAATCAAAATGGCTTCATTGAGTGCTCCAACATGAAAATGAAGAGTAGAAACTCCTACGCGCTCTTCCTCACTGAGCCCATGACCCTCTTCTTACCTTCGCAGCCATTCTTCCAGCACGGCGCCAGGGCGTACAACAAACCCCGAGACTATGCGGGCTTCCTTCAGTAATTTGTTTAAACGGTTTATGGATAGCACGGCTTCCCATCAGATACGCTGAGCTAAGAATGGAGCCCTTAACCTTTCATGGGATATCATTAGTAATAAAGAATATATCACTGATAAAACTTTCTATATTATTTTCATTTCTTTTAACCTAGATACATACATATCACCCATGACATTCAAGAACTACAAAACAACAATTCAACTACAATTATGTCAGGAAAAATATCCAAATAAATAAACTTTTAATTATGATACAATACCTATTACAGTAAAAATTGGCATTATTTTTTTTTCTCTTCAAAAGCAGAAGCACCAGTCTTACATATAACATACTGTTTGAATGATATCCTACATGGAATACAGCGTAATACAATGTGCAAACAGCATTTTCATACAGAACATAATATTTGTCTAGTTTTTATACACTGAAATCGCCTCAAATGGAAACAAGTTCATGCTGAATTGAAAATGTCGGTTTTAAAAATCAAAGTCAAATCAAAATATGAAGCACTGTCGGAATAGGTACATGAACCATTAAAAACAATGAGGAGCCAAAATCGAGGGTATTGTCAGATAAATATAATTAGTGCTCAGTTTGTCCCATTCCATCAAGAAGTAAACAGTTAATAGTTTTGCTAGAAAGTAAAGTGACGTTCTAATTTTTAAGAATTCTTCAAAATGTTGGTATCATTTTAATGACGTAAAAATGAAGTCAGAAATAGGACTTCTAAAAATTTCTTATTTTTGAGACACTGCAATTATCGTGTGTGGGCTGTGAAAAGAGATGAAGTCCAATGGAGTGAATACACATCAGCGTCAACATCATGTGACTTCTGCAAAGGCCGTGATGTGGTTCTACGAGTTAAAGGAAAAACAAACAGATAAAAACCCAGAAACCACACAGACATCAGTCGCCACTACGAACATTTTTTGCCCCTTCTGCTTTGGGGACAGCCTCGTGCTTGGAGACTATTGCAAGAGGACGCAAATAAAACTGGTTTTCACCGCAGCGCTCGCACACGCTCCCATTGCAATTCTTCGTTAACCGCTGAAAGAGTGGATACCTAAGCATGCTCAACAAAGTAATTGGGTGTGATGGTTCTACAATAGCTTAGTTTCAGATGGTTTTTTAAAATTAAGTAATGCTGTGAATAATTGAGTTAGCTGTACTTTTATTGCTACCTTATTCAGAATTTAAAGCAAAATTCCTAGAAATTAAAATGACAGTTTCTGACACATTTCGGTGTTAATACAATGTTAATGTCACATTTTTTTTTAAAGAATAATTGGTCCCCATGAGCTCGATGGCACAGAATTGCAAAATGCTACAACAAAAGTGCACTCAGCGGTTGAGGACTCATATTCAAAATTTCTTTTTCAGAATCACTACAGTGTCCTTTTCATTTGCAACGTTATTCTCCCCTCTCCTTCAGTGGGGCTGTTCTTACAAACACGAAGGTGCATACCAGAATGTAAATACACCACGTGCGACTTGACACAGTAAAACTGCGGCATCCCAAAGAGCTTTGCTACCTCTTCATGCCTTAACCCAAGCAAGTGTCTCTGCGAACATTTGGTAGGTGAAGACCCAACTGCGCGATGACGCGGAGCATCCAAAGGAACCGTAGGTTCCCCGGAGGCACACAGTACCCTTGACTGCCACCAGTTTTTCTAAAACACATAGCGTGTAAAATTAATAAAGGGAATATTGATGTTAAGCCATGTGCTTGCTCCCCAGTACACAAATGCACAGAGGGACCTGATACCACGCAAAGCACTGCAGATTCCTCATCACCTCCCTTCCTGGAGCAGACCAAAGCCAGAAGGGAGGAGGTGTAAGCTGAAGGGGGGAGGATGGAGATAACTCACGGAGAGTGGGATAGATGTCCCTTTTCTTGCTTAAGGGAAATTGTTCTAAATCCTTCAGAAAATCCCTTATCACATGCCGTGGAAAGTGCTGGAGAGAACCAGTGGCCACCACACAAACTTAAATTTCTCAGTTCTTCTTTACACTGTCTGGATATTTGCCCATCGGTCCATGCAGGGGGGAAGCAGGCACAATCTTTGATTTTCACATTATGGAAAGGAATTTAGAAGTACCCTGAGTGGGAGCAGAGGAGAGCTGCCTCTTCTTCCCCCCCACCCCTCCAAACAACTGCACTGGGTCCAGGAGAAGGAGCTCTCTTCCCCTCCTTTAATACGCATTTTAGCTCTAGCAATGTTCTTGCCGTATTTTAGGACAGCTGCCATAAGACAACACCACCAAACAGTAAGCATCGATGTACGTTCTTCTCCAAAACAGAATGAATATATTTTAAATAAAGAACAATGATTAAACCATAGTCAGCAGATTTTTTTAAAAAGCATTAGAGGGGAAAAAACAAAGACTTTCTGTGAAAATGTTTTCAGTAAAGAATACTAACAAATGTCATTGTTTCCAGATTTTGATTCTGCAGAAGAGAAGCAAAATTAGATTTCCTAATTAGAAAACAACACATTAATGTTTCAAAGCATTTTAGTTGGCTGGCCCTCTTCTGCTTTCCGTACAGGAGATGGTACGTTGGGCAACCTCAGTGACTCTGGAGTTGCTGTGAGGCTTTCATGACATTTCCTTCGCCATATTTACTTTATTTTTCCTTTTTTAGACCTGAAAATTATCCTAGCTAGCATCAGTCTAAAACTATCCACTTTGTTGATAAATAAGATGGTTTAAAAATGAGGACTTAGAGGGGAAAAAAAATTCCTCGTTATTTATTCTAATCAATTCTTTCAAGCCTGCTTATGCGCCGTCCCTTTCTCTAAGTGACACACATTTGTCTGCGATGCAGAGAACCAGATGCTCTTTCATGTGGCATTAATTCAGGCGGGGATGACGGTCACCACGGAAAGGAGGATGCGGTTCACACGCCTGCCAGCTATGCTTCCAGAACGAGCAGGTCGCCGTCCTTGGAAGGACATGTGGAGCACAGGGTGTAACAACATAGAAGAAAATCCCCCTTCCCCAATCAAGGCTCGGAGAGAGCTGCTAAGCTGCAGATCATGGAGCTATTGATTTGGACCCCAGTGGGGACTCGGCAAGTCATTTCCAATGGACTCAGCGGGGTGATGCATAACTAGGTCAAAATTAATCACTTGCTGATGGCAAGAATCACCGATAGGGATCCAGGCAGCTGTCTGGGTATTCATCCCTTTTCGTATGTTGCCGTCTCAGGCAAAACTACAAATAAGCCTTGTGGAGACTCTTTCCAGAAAAAACCACCCAAAGAGCATCCCTCTTGAATTCCTGCATTTCAACTCTCTTACTACGCTCTTTTACTCCTGTTCGATTTACTGCGACAAAGTTCAGCATGAGATACGCACCACCACCAGCAGACCGATCACACAGACACAGGAGACAAGCAAAAACCCATGCACAAGACCTCAGCTTCTCCAGCTCCATGGGAAATTATTTTTCCCTACGGTATTCAGAAGAATTCGAATACACTGTGGGTCTGCTCGACATCAGCAGTTGCACAGACGGGGACAGCAGCTTCTCTAAGATCCATTCTAGATCGACAGCGCCAGCGCCATGCCAGCAAAGCAACCTTCGCAGCCCTGCCCTCACACCACCAACAGAAAAATTAAAGCCAAGGGCTAAGCCTTGAGTGCAGGTTTCTGGGGGGGAAAATGATCCATACCTGTAAATCTGCTGTTAAAATTTTAATTAATTTCTGTTTCTAAGAGATTCCATAATGTTAAAGCATTGAAAAAAAAAATCTGTGACAACTTTCTTGTGGTTTGCAGTTTTCATTATATAAATAAATATTTTTACCTGATTTTTTTTTTTGTTCTGCTCTCAAAAATACCGTTAGAAATATACCAAAATAGGCATCGTCCTAAAAAAGATTTTTCCATTTCTGAAAAGAGGAATTTGAAAAATTGTTTGTAGTCCTTCACACAGTGGAGTTTGTTAAAGGAAATAGAAAAATACTACTGCAGTAGTTCAGGCAAATGATAATTTATATAAATAATAATAATAATATTATCATACAGTTCTCTGGGTCAGCAAAGTATATTTGTATGCTTTTACTGGATGAATCACCTTTTTAACCTCCTGACAGGAGGTTGTAATGAGGTGGGGGTTGGGCTCTGCTCCCAGGGAAGGGGCGATGGGACGAGGGGCACCGGCCTCAAGTTGTGCCAGGGCAGGGTGAGGTTGGCCATGGGGAACAATTCCTTCCCCTTGGGGCTGTCAGGCACTGGAAGGGGCTGCCCAGGGAAGGGGTCGAGTCCCCAGCCCTGGGGGGATTTAACAGCTGGGCAGCCGAGGTGCTGAGGGCCAGGGTTTGGGGGTGGGATGGCAGGGGAACGGTTGGGTTTGATGAGCTTAAAGGGCTTTTTCAACATAAATGATTCTATGGTTCTGTGATTTAGAGAAAATTCTGAGTTCAATTCCCCATTTAAAGCATTGCAGACCTGCACAGAAGGCTGTGGCCGCGCTGCTGCTGGCTCTGCCTGGATGCCACACACACACACGCGTGCATGTGCGCTCTTGCGCACATACATTTATTGCCTTGTATCCAGATGTTCAAAACCGTCCGTTCCTGATATCCAGGAGAAGAACCTAACGATGCGTGCCTTGAGGGAGTTCCGTTGCAAAGGATCTTCTCCATTGTTACCGATACCTTGATTCTGTAACACCTACAACACGTATATTTGAGGAGGTCACGCTGAATATGTTGTTCTGTTTCCTTTGTTAAGTATTATTTTATTTGAACATTACATGTGGCGATCACAGTTTGCACTCAAACAGAAGGAGTTCTTGTACAATCCCCCAGAAGCAGATTTAAGAAGAGCAGGACTTGAATGCAAATTCAAAGGCTTGACAGTGAAATAAAATTGCTTATGGTCTTTTATGAGCTGCCTCTCCAGGGTACACGTTTCTGTGCGTGAAATCATGTTGTATTATATCTCCTTTAATATACTGTGTTGTCTAGAAACCTGAAAACCTGCCTGTAAGCCAACGTAAGCCAACATAAGCACACGGACTGGAGATACACACACACACACGCCGTCCTGGAGAGACACACACGTGTGCTAAACCACTGTAGGGATACTTACGTACACTTTTGGACATCAAGCACGACAGTATTTGGATACTTCTCAACCGATATATTTTGAAGCAGCAGGAAGAGACACAACCCCTCTCCCCCGGTTGCCCATAGTATGATGAGCTAAAACATCTTTGTAGTTTGCTTTTAGCCTGGTCCCTGGGCTGGGCCCCTTGGCCACGCTGTGCATACAGAAGTGTACATAACAGTGAAAGACTTAGTACCAAAATGCTTAAGACCAAGGAAAAAGCAATCACGCTGAGAATTAAAATTAAAAAGACCATTTTCTGACACTGTGAAGAAGCCAAGTTCGATGTCTCATGAATAATCAAGATGGAGTAAATAGTAGAAACATTATACCTTGAAAACAGAAGAGGAAAGCTTCTCCAGTCTTAAAATACTATCAGAATCCATTGCAATATCTATATATACTATCGTTAAAATGGTTTATCACCACCACTACCTTTGGCACATACACAGCTGAACAAGAACTATAGTGTCAAACTCAACAAGATTTTTGAGACTATTAACCCTGACAGTCATGAGGTATGTCACCAACAAGAACATCCCATATCACGAGAGGCATTCCAAATACTTATCACCATTAGAACTTCAAAATGGCTGTGTCAGAGAGCGCACCAGAACTCTGTTTCTAGTTCAGAGTCACGCTGGTGCGCTGGTCCTAGGGCTCATCGTAACAAGGAATGGTGACTGTGCCTGGGAAGATGGTCTGGGTGCTGCTGACAGAAGCAGCGCTATGAAGCAATGCCAAACAGAGACGTTGGGGGTGAACACAGCTCCACTGTCAAAGAGAGCACTGCAAAGAACCCACTGCACAAATAAGCAACATTGAACGGCTACAGAAAGCACTGGTGATCAGACAGAGTAATCACCTCCTGCCACCGGAGACGAGCCATAGTGCCCCTCCTAAACCAACACTTCCTTCTATCAGTATTCTGTCTACTGCCTCAATTAGCCCTAAAATGCTCCGTGTTCCCTTTGTATTTGATTTTTTTCAATGCCAGAATACTTATTTTAAAAAAAAAAAAAAAAAAAAAAAATGGCTAGGAGAGTCAGCAGCTACTAGAAGACGTGTAGGAGCCCTTCGGAAGCCCTGGCCAATTTTCAGGTGACTTGAGCATGAAACAATGTCAGTCTCCCCAAAACAGAAACCAGAAAAACAGTTTGTCACTGCACTGGATGATGTTGAACTTTAAACTCTTCCAGGTACCACCTAGAATATCCCTGTTTCCCAGTAACTCTTGCAAAAGAACAGGCGTCTCTAAGCTTGACTGCGGTACGAAAGGAGCCTCCTCTCTGCAGGAGAGTGCCAGCAGGCTGAAACACGAATGGTCTTGTAAGAGATGAAGAAGGTCAGAGACAGGAGAGAAACAGGAGCAGATGGGTGAGCGATGGATGAGGTTTCTTGGCTTTCATTCTTTTCATTAATGCTGCGGATGAATGTAGTTAAGGTGAAAGCAATAAGTCTGCGGTGCTGAGCCAGCCCTGGCAAGGTTTCTTCAAGGAGACGCTCTGCGACTATGGCTTATTTGAGTGCATGAGAAGTGGGTACCCGTGCAGAACAGCTTAATCATCTGCATGCACCACAATTAAACAGAAGTGTCAGGCAAACAGTGATCTACCCTTGTCGTTAACCAGCAGCAGCTCAATTCGAGTATTACGAGTACACATATTCCTGTTTAAGTGCACTTCAAGTGTAGCTCTTGACCTCCACCAGAACCCAGACAGTGGCAGCACGGAGAGCATGCCAAGAGCATTCGTTCTCCAGCAGGAGAAAGCACTGGAATAGCAAAGAGGAGATCTGGAAACACAAAAATAAGGTGCTTCCAGGTCTGTGTGACGCACCATGTGCTCATTCATTTACAGGTGAATTTATAACAAAATTGCAGTGAGTGAGGTCCCATCTGGCAAGCATTTCTCATGAAGTCATTCTTTATGGCAGCATCTTTGAACTGCTCGCTCCCAGATACCCATATAGCTGTTATTTTTAAATACCACTAACAGAGTTGCATCGCTTTGTGCTAGCACTGCCTTAGCCCATGCTAACTTCAGTCAGTCAGGATTTGTGCTACTCCTTGTAGCTAATTTCTGAAAAGTAAGCTGTCTTTAATACTGGCACGGGAGCTTGCAGACAGAAGATGAGGAAAAACAGATTTAAAAGAAGCCAAATGTAAATATATGCGCATTCAGAATATGGAACTGGAATGGCCCTAACTGAAATGTAGTGAAAAGTGACTTGCACATGGCTAGAGCAGGCAAAGGCAAGTAGCACACAAAATATTTAGCAACCCTCTCTCTCCAGAGAACAAAGGATGTAAAATAAGAAGGCGGTTAAAAAGCAAAGACTAAGTTAATAATTCTTGTAGCGATGGTACTTAATTGAGATGGCTCAATTCAAACCTTTGTTCCACAGAAGTATTATTCTTAGTGCCTTTTATTTAACGGGGTCTGGCTTCTATCTAAAATTCAGACTAAACATTAAAAGAAAAAAATCCAGAAAAACTCAACACCTAAAGCACTTGCATGTAACTTTTTCATCAGTTATTTGCTAATTCAAATTTAAACTTTCCGAGAGTGGAAATGGAAGAAAGCATTTCCCAACAAACAGCAAAGTCTCCACATTATCATCCTCCCCTCTCATCCTCTCTGTCTGGAAAGGAGAAAGGCTTTGCAACATCAACAAAGATGAACCCATACACTGAGGCCTCACCAAGCGCAACACCCTGCGGACAGTCCCCCGTTGAATTATCTAGAGAGAAGTTCCATGACAGCAAGCAGCTACCCTCTGCCGCCACAGGAATAGGGGTTCAGAAGGAAAGAAGCTCCTTCGTGTAATGGAGTCCTGGGCGGTTCACGAATGGTAGAGATCGTCCTCAAGCAGAGCGAACATTATTCCTGCCACCACCGTTCCACACTCTCCCGTAGGGTTCCCCACAACGTCTCAATCTTGCCTAGGCCAAGACTCAGGAAAGAACGTTGCTCATCACAAGGGAGAGGGTGTCAAATTGGATAGGAACACTAAGTTAACACAAGGCCTTTATCCCCAGAAAAAAATTTAAAAATTTCAACAGCTGGAGAATGTACATTTAATTACCTATGACAGCTTTTGAGCTGCAGAAATGGCTTCTATGGCAGGAGAGCCTAGCACATAAATAGGACATGCTCTTATTAATGAGCTATGTCCTAGGCCAACTGACATCTTCTTTTGTTTTGACATTTTACAGGAAGTTTACTGAACGGATTATTTTGAAGATATACATTCATCATCTAAATGCTTGTTCAAGCAAATGAGACTCTGACCTCCTTATGACGAGAGATCAGCAGCAGTAGCTTAGACACATCTGGTTCAAAAAGGCACGTTCGATCATTCTGAAAAGAAATCTTCTTTCCCTTCAAAGAAAGGAATAACAAACCTAGGGCTAGCAGCAATTCTTACTAAAGGACAACTGCCACCTCTTACAAGTGATTGAGACAGACTGAGAAGTGGTTAAAAACCTTTCTTCTTACATTTAACATGAAAAAATATCAGGAGTAATTTGGATTTAAAAGAATGCCATAGAAACGTGCTTTTGGTGCCCAGTGTAGAATCGTTTACTATCTTCAAACATGGGCATAACACAAAAGACTAATAGATTATGACTGATAAAAGTCATTAGAAAAAGTAGAATTGCTTTCAAACTTGGCATTGGTCGTTCAGACTTCCCCCTGGTAAAAATGCCTAACGTGTTTTCTTTATTTGGTTACGCTATCTATTTCACTGCTTGTTTGCTCTTAAAATTGTTCAGACACAATCTTACCTAACACTTATACAGTACATCATCATCATCAAAAACTAAATTTTTATTACAGGAAACTAAAATAAATTTTAAACACATTGCGATACTTACTCATGCGAAAACGCTTGGCATACCCAGGAGATTAGCACTAGCACATCCTAGTCCAAAATCCCATTTGCTTTGGCAAGAGATCGTGGCTTTTGTGCAGTTACGGCACGACCCGTGTCACTCTCTATTATTATCACGTTCATTGAGTTGTTTGCCCTGCCAGCACAGATGTCAGATCCCCCGCGTTTCCAAGTGGGTGCCCTGTGGTGGGGCCGGCACGTGCCTGGTGATAAAAGCCCCACAGCTGACCCAGAGGGACTGCATCCCATGCTCTGCACTAGCCTGAGGCCATACCCTGAAGAAACAGGACAAATGCCACCTGTACCTGAATCGCAGAACCCCTTGGGCTCAGGGGCTGGATATTTTTTTTCTCCTAAGCACTTCAAGCTCTGTGGACTCTCAGCCAAAGCATTAATCAAACTCACTTGAGGAACGGGAGGAAAGAGGGCCTCAGGTCTACTCAGCCCGACCCCATGGACTTAGCAGTGGCTACAGCAGTGAACTGCACTGATACGCAGCAATAGTTCTTGGAGGTGACACAGAAAGTCTCCCAAGGAGCGTCTCTGAATGAATTCTTCCTTTCTTTCTCCCTCACTGCCATGTCCCCCTACTTTAAATCTGGTTACCTTGGCACTCTTGTCAAGACAGTTTGGGATCATCCTTCCAGGAAAGCTACATTTTAATTAATTTAAGAAACAAAACAAAACAAAAAAACCAAAACCAGACATTACCTTTTCTAAAGGGCTTTCTACTCGGGGTATGCTGATCATGGGCATCTGCGCCAGATTATCCATATGAGAATGTTCGTGTTCTGGCTGACGTCCTCTGAAGTTATTTACCACACAAACAACCTAGAAGATAAACAGAATAGCTAAGGAGCAACTCATTTTTTGAGCTTTGATCCTGACATCCATAATTAGGCAGAATTGACACGAGCTTTAGTCACAGCTTACAGTAGAAACACATAAATGTGAAGTTCATGTTTTACAGAAAATCCTTAATTAATATTTCAAGACAAAAGGTTTTCAACCAATTTATTGTTACATGCATCATCTGAGAACCAAAAAACCCTCTTATCTAAAAGCAAACCCATTATTGAAGGTGAATAATAGAATACTAATTATCAGCAATGTCAGGAATAGATGTCCAGAGCACATGCAGCAGAATATGGCAATAACCTTAAATTCCTATGAAGGGCCAGTACCATCTAAGCTTTGACCAGCAAAGACTTTCTCAAATGGAGAGTGAGCAAGGGAGAATAAGAAGGCAAGGACCATCCCCAAATTTAAACCAAACTCTAAACCTGCTCAGGACAACAGTGAAGGGCTTTAGGAAGGTGCTATATACCAGTTTGGTGGTGGTTCTACTAATTCCGACATTCAGCTGAGCATCAATGTTTGTCCATCGTGTTTTCTTCAAAACACAACTAAATTTGATGTCGTGCTACTCAAAGGACATTACGCAATATACATGACAAAACATAAGAAAAAATGCTGGGGCAGATTTCTTTTCTATTCTGTTCTCTTTTAGGACCTCAGGGGCACAAACAGAATGGAAAACCTTCCTAAAAATGAACAACCAAATGTAACTCCCGGGCACCTTGTATGGAAGAGACCATTTGGAAGTGTGAGCAGGTATATTTTAAAGGAGACCTAAAGCTGCCTCCACATTTCTCAGGGGAGTGAAAAGACCCACCTCAGCCATCCCTGTAAGAGTTCTCAAGCCAAGCCAAGTCTTCAGATCCAAGGTCTTGACGTCAAGACCTTGAGATCCAAGAATCAAGCTCAAAAGTGTTTCCATGCGGAAAAAAATTCAAAGGTGTATTAGTACTATCACAAGCTGCCAGGCAGACGAAGTTGCTGGCAGCAAACAGTGGTGACTGTTCTATGCCATGGTCTCGCACTGAAGGTATCAGCGAAGGTGATTAATAGATCAGCGGCAGCTTTCTGACACAGACACTAGTCATTGCGAACTGTGACTAACGGTCTGGTTTTAGAACGCAGTTCCAGAAGTGGAAAAGGCTAAACAAGGATTTTTTGATACAGAATAACATAAAATTTCAATGTAAACCTCAATTAGCCTAAAAGAAATTCAATGGGGTTACTTTAAAGCCAGAAAAGAAATGCTACTTATTCTCTGATTGGTGTAGGCATCACTCTACAGAATTTAATACTTTATACATGAAATCATAATTAGATGTTACTCTGAAGACTATAGACTTGCTTAAAGTGGGGCTTGACGCAAAAATTATTGGTTGAAATGCTACCATCTGGTTTATAAGGAAGTCAAAAAAGACCATTAGATCAGTCTTTTCTTGACTTCACATTTCTGAGTGTACGTAAATGTAACTAAGCAAACTGGTAATTCATTAAAAACAAAAATTAGAAACATCTCTTTTGTCATTTAGTTGTTGGAAAGGCCAAGGCTACGAATATTTTAAGAGATATGAAATTATACCCTCAGTTTTTCAAACAGGAGTGACACAGATATACACTTACCAAAAATACTGCTATAGATATTCCGATTACAAATCCTGCTATTACGTCTGACCAGTGATTTCGATACTCTGCTACTCTGTTGATTCCAGTAAGGAAAGCCAAGCACATTAAGCCCAAACACAGAACAGGTTTTGCAAGCCTCGTTCCTCTGGCTTTTACTGTGTTGGTGATATACATCTGAAAATTAGGAAGGAAGAAAGTTAAGGCTGATGGGTGTCTCCCAACTAAACAGTGAATAAAATCTCTACATTTTCTTTGAACGCACTATGTACACTTGGCTTTTTTTTTTTTAATAAAGAAACAAGAAAGTAGAGTGCTAGATAAAGTCATCACACCTTTCTCCTGGGGATATAGAAAAAGAATTAGACCATACAGCAAAATTACATTTTATGTGAACCTGAAAAGCCCCCCAAAAGAACTGGCAAATTGGACAATCCTATCCTATTACTCCCAGTCTATGAATTTATTTATGCAGAGGGTAGAGAGACTGACTTCTCACTGCACAGTGTTGACAATAGAAGATCTTTACCCTGAAAGAGCCTATATCAAGGCCTTGTTTCTATCAGCAAAAGCCTTTCTTCCTCAGACACAAATTCTCCATGTGATTAACTCGAGGTTTGTCAAAAAAAACCCCAAAAACCCAGCAAAAATTGAACTAAATGCCAGTATCTACTTTTCTAAATAACACGTAATAGTTTCAACCAGTGCTGAAGCAATACCCTATACTTCACAGGTGGGGGTGGAGGATGTTTTGTACCAATCCCCCTAGCACATAAACCGGTCTAAATGCAGAAATTTTTACACATCAAACTCTGAGAAATTCAATCCGCCCTGCTTGCAATCCAACTCTCCCTGCGCAATACTACAGAATTAATTCTGTAAGCGTCACCTGATGACAGAGCAGCTCTTCTGCCCTACAGGTGCATTGGACCACGAGGTCCAGCCAGTGCTTTCCAAGCTCTGATGGGCCAATGGAAGAAAAAAGAACCAAACCTTTGAATTTCCATTCTCTTCAATCTTGGCATTCAGGCCACTTGAAAGTTCCCCCCTGAAAAATTGTACTTCAACGAACAAGATTTTGGAGGAAAAAAAGTATTTACTTCCTGCAAGAAGATGTTTCTGCAGTTAAACCACCGAAATCCCCAAAACCTTCACATTTTGGTGGAGTTGGAATTTTTAGATTGAAGAATGCAAATATTTTCTATAGACAATAGTTTCACTAGCGACTCCAAGCGTGTAAGTGCCACCACTTCAAACTGCAAAGGGAAACAGATGAATCTGCCTTGAAAAACCAGTCCCTTTTGGCCAACAAATGGGCAGTCCTTTGAGGGTTTTTCGTACTGTCTGAAACTTCAGCTGAATTTACTGGGTCATCAGCTATGAAATGCTGCAATAATCCAGTCAAGAGGAAGTTCAGGATGCATAGTTACCGTTACAATAAAATAAGTGAAGGAAGTAGTGGTCGGAGCTTGTCTGAAAAGAGCAACACCTGACCGTAATTTTGTTCAAAACACTAGAGAAATCTGTGGCTTGGAGGATGAATCAAAGCTTCAGCTTAATATCACTGTGGAGTACGGCAAGACGTACATCTTCAGCGTACCTTATGTGACGAATGGCAAACTAGCAGCAAGCTTTCAACTCATGCTGACAGAGCAAAGGTCTGGAAAAAAAGTGTTTTGGGGTGTATCTCCAACCCACATTTCTCCTCTCTTCTTCCTAGACCATTTCAGAAATAGCGCTTCTCCCTTTGCTGATTATCCTTTTCTCTTCGCTCCTTATATTTTTGCAGACTCTCTTTGGTGAATTACTCTTACCATGTGGAATGCTGATAAGACAACTGCCACCTTAATTTCCAGCTTTTTAGCCCCACTGGTTTTCTTCAAGCTGCAGACAGCAGTGCACGCTGAGTTACTCAGCAACCATCTATTTTAGTGAGTCTCATCGTACTCTTGGATACTACCACCATTATCCACATTCACGCTGCACGTTGGAACATCTGGTGGTAGGGAAAATATTCTAGAATTCTGAATATGCAGCAAGGTCACGGAATTTCAAATATAGCTTGGGTGAAGTTGACACGGGGAAGCTGGCAGGAAGCAATCCTGCATTTAATTCTGTATTGTGGCATATTAAATCAAAATGACTATCGAGAAGGAACAGTCAGCTCAAAAAAAAATGTAGCTTGTTTAAGGTAGGTCGTGGTGATATATTTCAGTTATCTGTAACACCTGGTCATCGCCCAAGAAGAGGATCTCAATTTTGATGAAGTCAAAACACATTATAATAAAAATGCTCAGTCCAACACTTTTAATACAAAGCGAAACTGAAAAGTGCTCTGCAGAAAATTCTCACAATCTTTTTACGATCAAGCACGTCCTTCAAATCCCTACTCAGACAAAACTCCAAGCAAGCAGAAACAACTGCAGACTCACACTGTGCCCCACCTGAGTAATACAGACCTCCGTTTGCAGAGTCCCTTCCTACATGTGCAGACAGGGTTGCCATGCCCAGCCCATTATTCAAAATAAACTGGGGGTTCTGCCAGCATAGGTAACTATTTCTATCTTTTCTTTAAGGAACAGACACCACTGATGGTAAGAATAGTATTATATTAAAATATTATTAAAGAATCAGTAGAAACAGGGTAAACTTTTCCTGAAACAGTGGAGCAAAAAGCCTGCATACTTGCAAAATTCTACACAGCAAATGTAGATTCTTCCAAGGCAGGATTCATAGATACCCATTTTTAAATTTGACCTCTTGCAGCTCTAGTACAAGGTATTGACACAGTCAACTCAGTTGAAGACCTGATTTGGGCTAAGAGTAAAATATAATTAAGCAGTTGTTTTCTTCTTGATTCTGGAAGGAAAGCTATAAACCAGCACAGTCAGTAATCAGCAAAGAATAAACACCTTGAAAAGATGACAGGATTTTTCTTCTCTTACTTTTCATAAATATTAAATGCAATATCAACAAAGGAAAGTCACTCAGTGATTTAAAACATTAGTGAGAATGAGTGACAATATAAATTTTTACATGACTAAAGTAGTTTACTGAACAAGTCCATCTCAGCTCCTTTTAATAACAGAAACTGGGAGAGGAAGAATATAATTAAAGAAATCTTTTAAATTAATCAACAGCAAAACCAACAGCAGAGATTTCATATGTAAGGTCAAGGATTGATACAGTAGTTAGAATTAATTTTGCAGGCTGCACATTCTCCTGCAACATCAGATCAGCGGTGAATCTTCTCTTGAAAGACCTTCTGCTATTGCTTTTTCTTTTTCCTTAAATAAGATTTTAGAATGAAAAGATACAAAGGTGATACCAGCAAGTAGAGACTGTCAGAGTCATATAAGGAGGTGGATGTTATCTGGTCGTTCTATATACCAATGTTTACTAGATTTTCAGGAAAACACAAATATTTGACCTTCAGTCTTCAAGATGCTGGAAGTGAAGTCTTCGGAGAACCTCATAAATTGAAAGAAAAACTTTAATTGAAGTGGTTTTAAAAATCTGTGTTTGAAAGAGTCAGAATCATCATCACCACCGAAGACAAAACCACCTGTGAGGTTTCTGACGTGCTGGTGTCAGGTCATACTATAAGGAATAATCATAGTGTTGGCTCTTAGCTTGTACTGGGAAAGCTTTCAAAAACGTCATGTTGTAAGTCTGACTCATGTGAAATACGTCCTAAATCTAGTGCAAACAAAACCATTCCAAAACATGTAAGAGAAGAACAGGAATTGTGTGTCAAGTGCAGGACAAAGTGGCCTCCTGGGCTATGCTGGAAGCTCTTTCTAGTCATCATCTTTCAGCTATCTTTAGGCTCACCCACACAAACAGCCTTGCACACAAACACACATAACAGGGCCTGGAGTCCCATCTCAGTCCGAGCGGAGCTAGTCGCCAGGCTGGGTGCACCAGCCAGGCAGGAGGTTAGTCCTCCTAGCTGATTTCATCAGCCGGGGGCCTGGGGATGTGGGTAGAAAAATCCCCTCCATGCTTGCTGTTCCAGTCCTCCCTGAAGCAGATGGTCTGGGGGACTGACGAAGAGACAGACCAGTCCATTAGTGGGCAGAGAACAGTGACTCACGAAGCGATAAGCAGAAAGGAAGGAACCACTTCACGGGCACCTATCCCAGGCAGCGCTCCAAATACGAATTATCTCATGTTTTGGTTTGCTTTTATAACATGCTATCATTAAAGACAGAATCTTGAACTATGCAAGTAATATAAGTAATATTACAAATGTTCCACCTGAGAAATGCACAACTTTCAATATTCATCATTCCGACAAGAAAAGAGATATTCAAGAGATCAAAAAGCCAAAAAAGTAGTGGGGTATAGCGGGCAGTGGTCTATAACCAGGTTCCATGCTTAGTTAGAATCCCGTTTGACAACCTAACAGCTCTTCAGCTTCCTTGATTAATAATTATTGGGCCAAATTCTTTCCAGAGCAAACCAGAGTCATGTTCTCAAACCATCTGGGCCTTCCTGCAACTGCCCACTGAAGATTTTTTTAGTGCTCTTGAAGCCTCCTCCAATTTTCTCCCTAAGTTTTGTGGTAATTACTGATGACCCTTGGCAAAAATTGGCTTTCAAAGTCAGGGGTCTGGGCTGACAAAAGGAAGAGAAAGCTCTGGAAATGCTGGACTTCATTGTTTCCCGTTACGAACTCCCCACAGCTGTAACTCTAAACAACAGGAGAAGGATGTACCAAGACTGTAAGATACACTCAAATATTAATTAAAACTGACTCAGTCTATAGAGGTTGTTATCTTGAGTGACTGAATTGTAATGAAGAACTGACTGACAAGAAATATCTAGAGGTCTTTAGATAAACCCCTGGATCAAACTGTTATTTTACTATCCAGCCTGAAAATAACTAATACTCCCGGTATCTGAAGCCCATGACACATGCTGTACAATCAGTACCAAGGGAAATCTTTAATTGCTGCACCAGATACTGAAAAGAAATTCCACTTTCCTAACACCACCCCTGAAAAGCAGCTGAAAGAATCCTTTAATTCTTCAATTTCCTGACAAAAAGTGGACAACAAAGCTGGCTCAATAAGGCGGCTGTGCTACTCCCTTTTCCTCCTGAAGATAATGGTTTGAAGCTGCGCCAGGGCAGGTTTAGGTTAGATATTAGGAAAAACTTCTTCACTGAAAGGGTTGTCAGGCTCTGGAATGGGCTGCCCAGGGAGGTGGTAGAGTCCCCATCCTTGGAGGTATTTAAAAGAAGGATAGATGAGGTGCTTAGGGACATGGTTTAGTGGTGGGATGGCAGGGTTAGGTTAAAGGTTGGACTCGATGATCACAGAATCACAGAATCACAGAATCGTAAGGGTTGGAAGGGACCTCAGGAGATCATCTAGTCCAACCCCCCTGCTAAAGCAGGCTCACCTAGAGCATGCTACACAGGACTTCATCCAGGCGGGCTTTGAATAAAAGATCTTAAAGGTCTTTTCCAACCAAAGCGATTCTATGATTCTCTGATTCTCTGAAGCCTATCTAAGAGATGCCTACCAGGCCCCCGCCAGCCACCCTCAGAGCAGGGCACTTCAAGATGAAGGAGAGGCAAGACAAAGCCTCAAGACTGGACCAAGGAGTGACACCGAGCAGAACGGCACCGTGTTGCCAGCACCGTGACCCAGACCGTCTGGCTGTTTTTTCCCCAGTGACTTATAAACACAGTAAACGGCAAAGCCGATGCAGCAGAATGCCAGGAGCAAGGACCTTGCAGAAAAGATGATCACGGGCCCAAGAAAAGCTCTGCAGAGAGGAAAAAATTATGCGTCAGCTTTTCCTGCTAGCCCCGTCTGAGGCCGTAGCTGAGGCCAAGGGTTCCCAGTACAAAGCAACAAAAGCAGCCGACAGACCCAAGGGCTATATCAGTTATTTAGACATGAAACCTGCTCCTCTGTCATTACCAATCCAAAGCAAGTCTGAAGTGTAGGCGGTAACACCAAGTTCAAACGCTACCCTACAGACAGGTTGGCTGCCAACTGCTCTTGTCCAACCTAATAAGAATAAAACATCAAAAAAGCAAAGTCTTACAGAATGAATTAAATTTTGTCTTAAACTACAGCTAGCAATGGCCAATCCCCTAGGTCTGCAGCACCAAAGGACAACTGTTAGTCACAAGTCTCATATTTAAATCCATGGGAATAGACTGGCTATGTCTTCATGTATCACTTCAAAATCCTAGCAAAAAAAAAAAAAAAAGGACTCATGACTTCTCATTTCCGTGTCTCAGTTGTGGAAAAAAACGAAGTACGTGCATACTTGGCTGCTTCAAAATCTCCCTCTAATTGTCCAGGCTGTGTCAGCTTACGCATATCAAAATGTGGCTTATACAATTATATCCTATTTAATAAACTGGCAGTGTTTGCCTTAGTACCTATGTTAGCAGATGTCGTTCCAGCTGTGGAAGGGTGAATTGCAATGCTGATAAGAAGTGAAAGCAGATGCAGTCAGCCTATTAACCCAACTCAAGCAAAACCAAACAAACAAAAGATCTAAGGCGAGCTGAGCAGACATCTGAGGAGAAATCCAGGTAGCAGCCAGCTTGCTTAGAGATTCTGGAATAGATTTACAGTAGTTCATTTTGAAGACTCTGGTACACTGGGAAAAATAAACCTAAAAGTCTGAGGACGACAGGTAATGCATCCTTGAAAGCGTCTGTGTTTGGAGCAGGGTAGGAAAACACGGAAGCATAGCGCTGCTATTCAACATTTCCATCGCCAAGTCTTTCTTGATAGGTACCGGGAGAAAGTAATGGAGGCAAACATTACAGAGAGGTCTAAATATTAGCAATCCGATTGTTTGGAAAAGACTGTACTTCCAGCAGGAGGGGAATTCAGAGTTACCATAGCAGCCACCCACTCTCAAAAGAGGGGACGGGGGGAGGAAAAAAGGAAGACTCAAGAACTTCAGATGAAAAAAGAAGCTATTGTTAACAAGACAATGAGCACAGATGCTAGGGGATAAGGACATGGCTGCACTTAAATGGAGCCAGAGAGGGGAATTATTAGATAAAGCATAGGCTTTGTTCGCGAATGGGTTGATCAGTGAAACCACACAAGTCTGATGCTGTTTACTTCGCCCCCTCAGGAGCACGGACTCTGGATCAGCTTGGTGCCTGTTTATGTCTCTAAGCTGGTTTCGTTTTGTGCACAGCTGGCTGAAATGTCCAGGGAGGATTCTGTAAGAATCCCTCCCTCTCCTCCAAATCTTTCTGTTAAGCAAAAAGAAAGCACATTTTGTATCAGAGATTGTATGCTGATGAAACGCTCGCTGAGTAATATATGGAGGTCTTTATGTCCATGCTCTCAATAACTGTTGTACCACGGCTCACACAAAGACTAGGCTACTGTTTAAATCTTCTACTCCAGTGAATAGTGATGAGAAAGTTGTTATTCGGGGCCAACTATCCTGATAAACATCATGACAGTGTAAGGACATGACCCCAAATACTGGAACATTGCATTTCTTTCCCTCGTGTGTAATAAACAGTACTTTTAGCTGCAACCATGCAACAGGGGGAAGGAAAAAAATAAAAGAAGAATAAAAAAAAGAAAAAAGGGGCTGCCAACGTTGCATCAAGGAGCTAAATTTGCAGGCTACGGCTCAGCTGGTCCATCCCAGCAATTCACATTATTAGGCAGCCTATAAGAATTCAGAAATCTTGAGAGCGGCTTATAGGGCTTTAGTTAAATGATGACAGTGTCATGCATCATGATGATGTAATGACAGAGGATATATTCATTTCTGCAGTTCCTGAAAGATGATAAAATCAGGAATCAGATCACAGCCGTTTTAATTTTTGATGTTGCTAACTGTGTACTGACCACGGCCAGCATAAGGTTTGCATAAAGTCCCCTTGCTCATGTCAAAAGCCATTGATACCAGGCATTAGACCTAACTAATGCCTACTTTTTGTTTTTAAAATGTATTAATACTATTTTCCTTCCAGCTTTGCCACAGCAGAACAGTTGGTTTCCTTTAGTTACCGTGACTCATGGCAACAGTGGAAATCCAACTTTACAGATGGATGAGAAAAATAGGAGCAATTAAAATGAAGAATGCTGAATATTTTCTAAAATAGCTTGCACCAAATTTAGAGGTATGTTTCAGTGAAGCAAAGCCTTAGATATCTCCCCAAATAAAGACAATACTATTAGGAGTCTTACACTTGCCTCAAGTTAGAATAGAATTTTATTGCTCATCCCTTATTTGCAGATAACGCTCGCCTGTGCTGACGATCCACATCTCTTAAACAGACATTGCTCACAAGGAACTTTTGGTAAACGCTGCTGTCGGTGCGGCAGACTTTAAGCAATTGGTTCTAAAGCCACACTCAGAAGCAAGGAGCTGGCACACCGTCTGTGGATGGGGCTGGGATCTTTGCCACGTTGGCAAGTATCAGTTTCCAGATCAATCAGGAATTAAAAGTCAGCTCATTAAATATATGGTCAAAAGCAATACACTCTCATGCACCTGTATATAAACGTGCGTGTATATGCACACATACACGTATGTATAGGCTGTCTGGATGCAGCGGGCACGCGCGGGATGACCCCTGTGATGGCCACAGAGGCACACACGCTTGCCGGGTTTCCCGCTGATGCCACGAGGGCAGCGCTGGGCCCATCCCAAGGGCTACAAGGACTGGGATCACCAGTGCAGGTCAGGGAAGAGACTCCCACAGGCGCGTGCTGGGGACAACTGTACAAAGACCAAGATGTGCTTCTGCTTAAGGCTAGAACGATGTGCGCTCCAGACCGAGCCTGGGAGTACCACACGCTTAAGCGAGGCTCGTTAGTCCCTCTGCGTCCCCGTGCTCCTCAACAGCCTCTAGAACAGCTCTGATGCCAGGCATCAATGCCAGTTTTTAACCCCAGCCCTGCTCATCACTCCCTGTATCAGAAAGGAGAGAGGGAAGAAGGGCTGGATTGTCTTGTAGCCCGCTTCATTGCAGAATAAGAGCCAAACCGACTCTGCATGAGCACTGAAGTACCTATAAATACCAATTCTGGTACCTAAAGACATGCACAGCTCTTGGGAAACCTGCAGAGATCAGACACCTACATAGGCCCGCTCTTCTGCTTCACCCCACCGAAGAATACTGCCATGTGCAACTCCACTGATCCGTACCGGGACATGGAAAGGAACCACAACCGCTCACGGGCAATCCCCACCCTTATTCTTTACCACCCAACAAAGGCTCCTCCGACATTCTCTGGAAACAGGGAAGAAGTAAACCAAGAACCTGTTTATCCTAAATCTAAAACCCTTTTTGGACAACTTGCCCTCTCTCAGCATTGCCTTAGCTGTCAAGGCTCGGAGAACCACCACATCTGTAATTGCCAGAATTAAGTCCAATGAACCAAGTTCTCTAAGGCCTCACAGTGACCCATCAAAGGCTTATACATATAAGATCAGCCAAGAGTTGTCTTGTCTTCCCCCCATTCCTCCCTCCTCCCCTCACGGTGTGAGCAGTTTGCTCTCCAAAATATAGTGACATTAAACAGTACAATATACTTACAGCCAGATACATAGCTGCATATACGCTTAGCGCTGCTTCTTTGGATGGGAATGTCTTTCTGGCTTTCATGATAAGGTCTGGATTTCCAGTACAGGCATGTACGCTACTGATGAACTGTGTATACTGTTTACATCCAAGTGCTGTATAGTTGGGTTTACAAAGTGCAAGAAAATGTGGTGCAAGATTCCCTGTTACTACTTGTCCAGCATTTACAAAGATGTCCGTAGCAAACAGTCCAAATGCGTAAATTCCTAAAGAGGGAAACAAAGAGTTAAATTTCCTGGCAATTTCACTCCAGGGCAACATCTTACAGTATTTATCATAGTCATACACCAGCTCCTTCCATTTAAGAACACGAAAAACCCTCGTGTGTATTGTACCCTGAAGATCCCGGCTCATGCTGCAAGAGCAACACGACAACGTACCCACACACCTGATCTCTCTCCATCCTCTGAGGAGCACGCTCCCCTCTTGTGCAAGCAGCCCCCTTTCCTATCCCCCCTGGCCACGAACCGCCACTGTTGGGGCGAGCTAGCTACACTGATACCTAACTTTTGCCCATGTTCACTCAACAGAAGTGACAGAGGCAAACTCTTCGCATAAATCTGCTTGAGAACCAGGGAAGTCATGCCCTGATGGAGAATTAACTTGAAAAGTTGTAACATGTGCTGGACAAGCATTTTATTTTCCCTTGCAGCTGTAGAGAAGCTGAAATACTGAATAATTCAATATTGCCATGCACGAGTTGTCTTCATCTGCCTGCTACTGGGTACATCTCTCTGCATGGCATATTAATCACAATACCGACACAGCGAGCTAAGGTTCTATATATCTGAGGAGCTACTTATGCTAAAGAGGTTTTTTATCAGATATATCAGCAAAGCATTAAGCACGTGTACTCGTTCATTAGAATGGAAACGTATGTCTCTGATTACTTAAAAGAAAACTGATTTCTGCTATTCTGAGGTCTCTTTCTATCCTTTTGGAAGCAGAAAAGCTCTGGAAGGAAATGCAAACACAGCACCTTGACTGGGAGGCAAAGCCAGCAGGCGTGTGTTCAAATTCCACCTGAGCTACAGATTTCCTTCTGTATTTCTACAGGCAAATCCCCTTACTTTTCCTATACTTCAATTCACTGTGAATATAGCGTGAATTCTGGCAATTCCCAACCTCATGGGGCACCCAGGGGACTTTAATGGATGCGCACCACAGCGGACGTGATCCCACAGAAACCATTTCTAAAGGTCAGGTTTGGGGTTTTTTCCTCAGCAAAGCTAGAGGACCAGGGATGATTTCTAGGATCCTAGCTGGTCAGCGATGTCCCGCTAAGGTTAATTCACCCCATGGTCACCGCCCACCTCCTCTGGACCCATGCAAGACAGCCTTGTGCTTAATGACTTTTAGCACTCCAGTGTGGCACACGGGAGGACCATCTGCCCAAGGCTTCATTCCTCCAGTGGTTGCTCTTCGATACAACAGTCAGCAAGAAGCAAACAACAAAACTGAGCCCTGCTACAGCATCCCCGCACATATTAATATTCTGTAGACATTCTGAGTGGTGGTACTTCTTCCAACCACACTTGCAAGGAAATAAGTAGAAAGGATGGCATCTCCTATCTATTGAAGTCAACAGGGGAGTTACAGCTGCCTTCAGCAGAGGATGGATTTGGTACAGTTTTCTACTAGAGACTGTAATACAATCTCCAGGCTAAGAAAGTACCTTGGCTACAGACATTTATATCCCAGTATCTTCAACTTTGGCTGCTATGTGTGTATGTGACCAAAAGAAAACTATCAACTATGGATATGGCAGAAGGACATCTCTTGTCTCCACTTCACCCTGCTCCAGGCCTGTCAGTTGCTTTTCCCCTTTGTGGTCCAAATTTTTTCTATTTTTACTGCTGTTTCCACAACTATTTTTTTATCCAAACTGCCAAGAAGCTTCATTTGCTACCCAAAAGGAGAGAACTCGCTACCCCTGAGTTAAGACTATGCATGAAATGTTGTACGGTTATCTGAATATTTTCCCCAGGTCAAAACTCAGACATAACTGATCACTCTCACCATTCAGAAAATGAAAGCATTAATTTTGCTCATACCAAGGAATCTGATGGTCCTGCGCACCAGTGGATTTATATAACAACAGTCTCCAGTTAATATTGTTTTTTCTTGGTTTTCAAAATCCTTTGTAGCTAACTGTAGACAAAACACTGCAGTTTCTCCAACGATAATCTTAGGGAAGGAGAAAAAAGGGGAGAGAAATGTACATCAGATGACAGCAAGTAAAATATACTCACATTACAGAGATGGCTTTCTCATCTTAAGGGAACAAGACCAAACCAGCACAAAAGACAACATAAGTGAACTGAGTTCTGTATGTTAACGTTTTTATGAGGGAAATACGCCTTACGGCTTGCTTTGCTTTATTTGCATTGAAATAGAATAAACTTCTACAACAAGGATTTGGGAGTGACATAACATAACCTAGTTTTCAGGGTGAGGGGAAAGAGAGAGGAATCCATTAGTTCAGGAGCAGCAGATCACATAATGCACAAGATGTGGGCAAAAGTAAAGGCCTAATCCTGGAAGATGCTGAACGTTTCAGGTCCCACGCGGCTTTCACTGACACTCAGCACTTCACAGGGTTGAGTTCTAAATTTTGGACTATGATGGGGGAGGAGAAAAAAAAAAAAAAAAAAAAAAAATCACAACAGAGCTCCTGTTCACATCAGAGGATTGGTTTGCCAGGATGTACTTAACAGGGTTCAATTCATATTTTGCCAGCCAAGTTTATCAAGTTGGGCTTTAGCTTTGTTCCTCATGCTTGAGCAAAGTGTCACCACTGGTATTTTAACATTAAGCATGACCTCTTTCACAGTCATTACACCAAAATGAATAAAGTTCTCAAGTCTGTAGTTCATTCGCATTGCAGCTGGCAAAAAATTAAAAAAAAAGTCACAAATAAAAGAAGAAAAATACAGATTTTGAATGTAAAATATCCCCTCTACGATGTGTATTTACCCGTACAGCAAAACATGACCTTTAATTTTCTCATGACAGTTACGGTATTGAGACTTAATAGCCAAAGCCAAGCCTTAAGCATGTATCTCTCTAAACCTATGATACTGAAGCTTTAGGGCAGGTCACATAGGTACGATCAAAAAGAGTAGAGCAGAAGGGTCAAATACCGACCACCATATTGCAACTTTGATTCATAGTGGGCCTTGAAGGCAAGGCTCTTCCAGTCTTCTATATGAAATAGTAATAAAGCTTATTGATAGGTACATCAGCTTTTGATGAACAGGAATGAAGACCAGCAAAGTGAAGCCTTCATACTACACAAATACAAGAAATAATGTCATCAAACCTGATTCATTGCCTAGGTTTTTCTGAACCTTTGACCCAAGAGGAAATTATAAAACTTCTCATATATCACAATAGGTCTGAACAGTTCTACACAGAGCACTGGTTACAAAAAACAACCACGGACGATGGCTCATAAGCATGGTTTGTTGCCAACAGGAAGAATGCAATTAATGACCTTACTTAATTATTTGTAGCTTTGCACAGACGACTCTGGGCTAAATTGTGACATGCAGAGGAGGAAAGTACTTCTTATAAATAATGTGGCATGAATAACAAAAATAACTGTGGCGGCAAGCGTGTAAAAAGCAAAATTCAGTTATGTCACAGAAACAGTCTTCATCTATTACTTTAGCCTGGCTTCAGATCCCAGAGGAATTTTTAGATGAAACAGAAATTTCAATACCTGAACTAACAAGTATGCTCTCTCTACTTTCATGCAAGCGAATTTTCAGCATACTGAAGTACAACTCCTTCATCTATAATTAACAAATGATCGGTACACACATGAAATGAAACTCAACCTTGAACTCAAGGTTATCAAAATTATGAAGATGATAAGGAGAATTCAGCCCAATGACCCCTATAGCTCTCATGAAAAAAACCCAACCAACTAAAACTCCAGTTTTAATGATTCATAAAGGTGAGAATTGAAACACGAAGATTTTCACATGAAGAAAGCCACAGTAACTCCCTTCTTTCCCCCCGGAATAATGCAACCTTGAAGGATGGGGAGCTGGGGGCAGGTCAGTCTCTGCTCCCAGGTAACAGGCGATGGGATGAGGGGAAACAGCCTAAAGTTGTGCCAGGGAAGGTTTAGATGGGATATTAGGAAATATTTCTTCACTGAAAGGGCTGTCAAGCACTGGAAGGGGCTGCCCAGGGAAGGGGTCGAGTCCCCACCCCTGGGGGGATTTAAAAGCCAGGCAGATGAGGTGCTTAGGGCCAGGGTTTAGTGGTGGGATGGCAGGATTAGGGTAATGGTTAGGTTTGATGATCTTAAAGGTCTTTTCCAACCTAAATGATTCTATGATTCTAACATCAAGAACTAGGCAACCTGATCATAGTCAGATTCTGCCTTTAACTGGGTTTTTTGCCAAACTCAATAGATTTCAGTACAATTATTGCAGATTTCCAAACTCCAGGAAAAAGCAGAATCCAGCACAAGGGAAGCATCTGTGATATACAGTGCTCAACCTTTTGCAAGAACACAAAGTGTGCCAGAAGCTCAACTCTCCAGCTCTGAGCAGAACCTGTGAACCTGCTGAGCTGGGAATACAGGTTCTTCTTTTGGCTGGCCAGGAAGCTGGGGTTAGCAAACGGGAGAACTGATCATTCACTGTAGGAAAGGAGATCCTCGCTTCCAGCAACACGTCTTCATCAGCCGCGTTGAGGTCCTTGCCATTGGCAACAATTCTTCCTTGCTATGCTTCCCATCTTTGATGGTGACCTCGATGAAAAAAACCCTCTGCTCCAAGAACAGCAGGGAGCAATGTTAAAGTTCTTAGCTGAACAAAAATACTCAGAGTTGGTCTGTAGGTGCAGGGCCAGAACGACGCAGAACTCCGCTAAAGCCAATGCTTTTGCTATCCTAGGCCTAGTGCTCTACCCTCAGAAGGAATCAGAGCGGGATATGCCACAGAGCACAACAGGCACTCATCTCTGCTTCTGTGGCTTTACTTTGGTAGGATCCTTCTGGAAACTGGCAATAAATACAGGTTCTGTATTTTTCCGTACTGGCAGCTCAGCTAAAGCTCTTCTCCTTCCTCCATGCTTCAGCATCAGCACTGCTCGTCTCAATAATCAGCCTATTGATGTCTCATAAATGGAAGGAAAACCTTTTTCCATCTCAGTAAGTCCCAGGAGAGATTCTGTTTCCCAGTGCAACTATTCCCCTTCTTCCCTCCGGCTCCACTGGCAATACTCGGCTCTACAGGGCAACGCAAAGGGAGGGCAACATCCCCCGCATCCTTTACCGCGATTTGCTTGCCTGCTATATTCCAGGAGGGAGCAATTTCTCTATTCCCTCTGGCCGTTACCCCTTCCACTGCATGTGCGAGTTGCAACCAGTAAATGAGTGACATTTAATGTAACGGTCTCAGGGCAAAAAGTTTTTGGACTATTCCAAAACTGACAGCGAAGGATTGCAATGGAAAATGTGAAAGCTCTCTGACAACATCAACTTTTGGACAAAGCTACAGCAGTTCAGGTACTGAAATATAATTTGCAATGAAAAAAGTGAGGATGTTAGAAGTATCTTTTACCTCATTCTGTCTAGCAGGGTCATGCTACTTTAGATCACTGTAAGATTACCTGAAGAATAATATATATTAAAATTATTAGCTCACAGATATTTTAACAGCTGTTAAGAGCAGAGGCCATCATTCCCTAAGGCTGAGAAAACCTTCTGATATATAATTACAGCATGTAAACTGTAAGGAAAAAAACAATTTTCACCTGAAGACTGACAATACAAAGTGCAGGCTTTCCGGTACTCTGAAGAACGTATATGTAAATAACGTTTACAGCCCATAAAAATGCAGCGTACATAATTGTTACAAGAAGGAGCAAGACAGGAATGATCACCCTCCGGGCACCGGCCTCAGCTCTGCCAGGCAGGGATCAGGTGCTGGTTCTTCCCTCTGTAACCACAGGGAAGGTCCTTTGTCATAGAATCATAGAATCATTTAGGTTGGAAAAGCCCTTTCAGATCACCAAGCCCAACCATTCCCCTAACCCTGCCATCCCACCCCCAAACCCTGGCCCCTCAGCACCGCCTCTGCCCGGCTGTTAAATCCCCCCGGGGTGGGGACTTGACCCCTTCCCTGGGCAGCCCCTTCCAGGGG